TTTGTGATTGTAAGAGTGCAGAGACTGAGAACTTTTGTGCTCTTGATCTAGATGTCAGCCAAATTGCTTGCTATCTTGGGACAGAAAAATTAATGCAAGTAAAGGAAGAGTGAGGCTGTATATCCAATCACAAGCTGCATTTGTTTTTGCGAATGAGCCTAATGATTATGAAAGAGATTTTGTTTACTGGGCTACAAAAGGATCTTAGAGGCCACCCTTTTCAGCACAGCAGTTGGACAGGAAAGAAGGAGCATAGGGCTTTCCAAATACAGTCAGCTGTGTCAAGCTTATGGTGGAAGACTCACAAAAACCCGAGGAGAGATTTGTGTTGATTGAGCAAATGAGGGAAGCTTAAATGGGAGCCGGAGGCAGCAAACTATGTTTGTGGTCTTAGATTAAATATCACCAGCTGCAAAATTTAGCATGAAAATTAAACTACAGCATACAGTAGCAATAGGCATAATGGGGATTGGGCTCAAATGTTAATCTCAATTAAAGCTATGCATCTTTGTCATGCAGGATGATTATTTTTGGAGATAAGGAACCAATAACCAGCTGAAACCTTCTAGTGTGTGTTGGTAGTAGATCTTATTCGACGTACCTCCTGAAGGCCGTGGCTGGGGGAAGCCCTACATTGGCCAGGAAATTATGGAGGTGAAAACAGTGCTTTAAATTTGATGATCGGTCTTGTTTATACCAGGGATTTGCCTTTTTTGTTTCTTTGTGATACAGAGGCAGTGTTTTTCCATTTCCATATCTTTAAGCATATATGTGTTATTCAAACTTTGTGGAACTTTTTATCTTTTTTTGAGAGGGGGTGGGTTGGGTAGGGGGAGTATTTGATGGAAAACAAGTAAGTGTACGTGTAAGTGTGGAAGGAAAGGAAAATGCAATGAGGGGAAGAGACGCTTAGAACTATACTGAAACAGTATGTATGACAATTAACTTTTTTTTTGAATGTTCTTATACCACATTAATTAAGATTCAGTGTGCTTGTCCTCTTTGATTTCACAGTGATCTGTAGCAATGGTTCTGTGCTATTTTACCATTTAGGAAACAGAAATCCCAGCAGCACCCAGCAAAGTGAAGCTTTCAAGCTTGAACTTAACTGAGACTTATAATACTTTTCTACTCTTGCTATATATTACTTTTTTTTTCTCCTGTAACCTCTTTTTTTGTGTAATCATTACTTTAGAACTGATTTGATCTACATGTGAAGTCAATGACTTGGTCTTAACACTTTTGAGACCTGGATGTAAATGCTCTTCATGTCTGCTTTCTTGCCTATTTTTTTTTGTTTGTTTGTTTTTAATTTGACAGGCAGAGATGGGAAATAGAATAATAGAATAATCCATCTTCGTGAAAGGCTGTAGGTGTAGGGATGGGAGGAGAGAAGTATATATAAGCCTTGATACTTATACCTTTGTCTGTCCTTGAACTAGTTACCTATGTCCAAACTTGCTTTTCCAGGCTTCTCAGTTTTTCAAAGCACTTCAGAATAGATGCATGGATACAAAATAGTAGATATAAACTTATATAAGTATGAAATAGATTCTTTTTATTTATTTCATTAATCATTGGTACAGATTTGTTACTCTTGCCTGTAGAAGTTATTGTGAATTTGAGTGCTCTGAATTTATTATTTATTTAAAAAGACTGTTCAGTGGAATTTGTTGCTTACCGATGTTAAATCAAACGTTTAGAAAAACATGTGAAATACAATGGTATTATGGTAGAAGGGGTAAAGGGGGATTAAACAATAAAAGACAAAGGAAATCTGTAGGACAGATTTGTTTTCTGTCTTGAATATTCTGATAACATTTAATCCTAAAGAAGGCAGTGTTTTGGAAAACAGATGATAACTCAAGCACTCTACCATATTATCGAAACATACATCAAAAGGACATGTGTATGTGAATTTTTGGATCTGCAAAGCGTGGTTAAAATGCACTGATTCTTTCTCCTCCTTCTCCCACTCGCTTCCCTTCATACTCAGGTGGATAACGCTAACTTTGTGAATGATGCAGGGATACCTTTGGAAATGTGGCAAAGGTACCAGGAGTTTCTGGCTTTCAGTTCTTATTCATCTTATACTGCTTTATCTGCAGGCTCACAAGCTGCGTGCAACAGAGATTTCCCTTGCTCTTCTCTGACCATTGTTCCACTCTCTGACCAGAATTGTTCCACTTTTCTTTTCTTACCTGCACTTTTTTTTTCCCTCCAGTGTTCTCTTTTCAGAGGAATTATGGGGACTTATTTTAGTTCTTTTAAAATCTGTGTGGTGGTGGGGGAGAGGGTGAAGAGTTTGAGTGGGTTGGGTTGGGTTATTTTGAGAAAGTGATTTTTGCTCCTTAACAAATAACCTAGGGCAGCAGTTTTCCAGGGAAGGCAAAATAGCTGGGGCTTCTTGCTGCTGTTGGCTATGAGAGACTTGGAAAGCCTGGCAGACCTACTGCCAAAGTGGGGCTGCAGGAATGTGTTGGGGCTTGCATCTCGCCAGGAGCGTGGCTCTCCTGAGCATGTCTGCAGAATTTGCGTCCCACATTTCCCTGCTTGGGGCTGGTCTGGCTGCCTTTGATCCTGGCTCAATTCTGGATGTGCTCTTTAACTGCAGTGCTAAAATTAACTTTTACTTTGAGCTTGGTGATTTTTCTCATAGTGTTCTGTGATTCCCCTTAAGAAAATCTAAAGGGTTTCTGGCGTGGATTTTGAAAAGTTAGGATTTGAAAGCCTGCAAACACAGAGTTGCTGATTCAGGAATTAATTCCCTGAGAAGGGTGAAAAATAAAGGTTTTAACATTTTGGAAATATACCCTGTTAACTATGTTCTTTGCTTGTATGTACTGGTATAATTCCCCACTTTGGTGTTTGTTTTAAAATATGAAGGCTTTTTTTGAAACTGCCTTCCTGTATAGGTGCTTGTGAGCAAGCTTGGCACGTCGGATGCCTGGAGCTGGGAGCGGGGTAGGCCTGGGATTTCAAGGGGATGAAAGACACCGGGGTGGGCTTTGCCTCTGGGCTACAGTTAAGATCAAAGCTTGCTGGTAAGATTCCTACTAAAAAGGTTGTTGACTGTCTGCTTCCTTCTGTCCCTCCTTATTTTTCAGCTGGTAACTGTAGTAAATAAGTCTGATTTGACTTGTTCCTTATCACAGAGGCCAGATCTTCTGTAGCAACTCTTGCATAGTTTGTTGGCCCCTGGAGTCTGACAAGCCAGAGAGCTTCTTTTGGGCAGTTGCACAGAAAGTTGGTGCATGATGTTTCCAGTCCTCTCGTAGCTGCCACAAGCAGCGGGCAACAAGGACGTTAGCTACATGAGGTCTTTTTTTTTGCAGCTGGGTCTGTGAAAACTGAATCCTGACTGGAGCTTCCTTCATGCCTGTCTCCATCCAGTGTTGTTAGGCAGGACTGAAGTTTTATAATGGTCTGCATGGAGCTGTGAAGACGTTCGTTACTTCTTGATATCCAGCACCGAGTTTGATGAATTTCCTTCATCTCCAAGACAAAATTGTATTGTAGATAAAATAGTAGTCCTTGTGCTTTTATTATAGAACACTATTCATTAGAAAATCAGAACTCATAGTTTATTTATTTATTTATTTCAGTATTCCAAGTTATGTTTAAATTGGAGCTGAAGATTTGTTACTGAATTTTCAGAAAATGGATATTGTGGCTAAGGGCTAAGCTCATGGGGAGAAATGGTACAAAGGATGTTATAGTGTTTTTTGATGCTTATTGGCCCACACTTTTTTTTTTTTTTTTCTTAAGAAAGGAAGTCCTTATTAGGCAGATAATAGCTCTTAGATAAACTGAACCCTTATTAGGCAGATAATAGATCTTAGATAAATTGAGTCATAGTTAAAGGGTTTAGAAGATATTTTAATATTCTTCCTCATGAGGTCATGGAATTTTAAATTAGCGTGAGAGCAAATCAATCTGTATGCTGAATATGTCTTTAGAAATATTCCTAAATATAGACATTATGTTTTTGTCTTTTGTTAGCAAATGCAGTAATAACCAGTTTTAATCTTTCAAAACAATCTGTTTTTTTTCTCTTTCCCGGTCTAAACTTCAAATAAATCTCATTGTAAATACACATAATAGCTTGTAGATTATCCCAGTTCCATGTCTAGGTTAACTGTTCACCTTCTCCTGAGTCTTAGATCCAGATTTTTATTATATGCCATGGTCAAACCCATGAGACTAGGGGTCAAATTATAGACTTAAATGGCAGGGTGCTCTATGTGCTAGTCTTCTGTTCTCAAATCACTGGAAATAGCACCCTATTTTTCTCAATAAGAAAGCACTTAAGTTAATTGCCCCATTAGAGAGATACAGTAACTCTTTCTGAGCTCTAAGTAGCTATCCATGTGTAGCTACTGAAGTTGGAAACACCTGCAACCAAAGCAGCTTGGAGGGGAGGTGGAAAAAATGCCATTACTCTGCACGAAGGAAAATGAAATGCTCAAGTTCAGAATATCAATGATGCTGTGTTGGAGCAGCCCTGAAAAATTTGGCTTTTTGGTCTATGCCTAGTGCTATCCAAAACAACATACAAAATTCTTTGTAAACTAGTTTTAAAAGTGTCTTGTTTATTCAGAAGCAACTGTGTGCGGTATTTGTTCAGAGAGCAGGCTCCAGTCAATTGCAAACCACCCAGCAGCCGCTTGCTCCTTAGGAAGAAACATTGCCTAATATAGATCACAGATGCCAAACACCAAAGGGACAAAGTGCTAAAGATAAGGAGCTCAATCCCCAACTGTTCAAAGTCTTCAATAAAGACTCTGATTTACAAATTAGGGGTGGGACTCAGCTCTTCCCACCTGCAAGGCTGTTTCAGCCCCTTGGCTCTGACATGGTAAGGTGCTGATATCTACTGTGACCTTCTGTGCCCTTAAAGAGAGAAATACAGGCTTTCTTATGGCTCTAATCAGTCAGTTCCTTTAAAGCTTTTCTTTTGAGTAATTGAACAATCCTGGTTGCTCTCACTTTATTGCACTGGTGAATGCAAAGCGACTGGAGTCCGTGTCACTGAATCTTGAAAGGCCCTCCTGTTCTGATTGACTCATTATAGCAGTGTAATCATCTGTGAGGGTCTGATTTTGGTAGTTCAGCCTGATGAGTGGCTGTAAAAATAGGCTGATTTTTATTCAGTAAATCTTGATAACTTTAGTAGCTACTGGACTGCTAAACAGTGTGAGTGCTAAAGTTCAGGTGACTGTTTTAAGCACCACTTGGAGCAGTACTGCACTTCCAACCTGTGTCCCTTCCTTTATATTCAGTGGTCTGAAACTAGAGCTTTAGAGTTTCAACTCTCTCTCAACCTTCTTCATACTTTCTTTTCTTTCATAGTGAAACTACTACTTGATGGTGGTAGGGAGAATTAATAAAACCTTTTAAAAGCAGGAACAGCTTCCCCAAGCCTGTCCAATGCTTCTCTGAAAGTTCAAGTTCTGAGCTGGCAGTATTGTTCAGTCCCCTTTTAGAACTTGAAACTCGGGCACACTGTTCAGTCATGTGTTCATGCTTCTGTTTTGGATATAGTAATGATAGAGCCTATGAGACACTAGCCAGAAGAGAGGAATACTCTGGCATTGCTTTGTTCAGCAGTGCTAGTTCTCGGAGGACAGCATTCTGAATGCGTAGAGAACATCCATGGCATTTTGTGTGTTTGGTGATTGTAACAAGGAAGATATTATCTTAACCTTCTGGAGGCCTGATCCTTCTGTAGTTTCCCTTTTTGCATTTATAGCACCTTCTCTTGTGGAGCTGTCAAAAAACAACAGTGGACTGAATCGAGCAGAAGCTCTTAGAGGTGTTATCCAACTTTTGCCTTCCTGGGGGAGGAAAAGAGGAGGAGGGAAAAAAAAAAAAAACTTTGGCAACACTTTGGCAGCTGCACTTCAAAATTTATAGCTTTTTTTCAGTGTTGATTTGGGGCCAGTGGATGGCAAATCCCTTGGCAAACATCTTTGGGTGCTCCTCAGACTTTGGCAATACACTGCTGACAGCCCTGGGGAAGAAACTCCCACAGGAACCTGATCCGCTTTTACAAACAAATAGGCTTGGCATATAGAAAGCTGATGAGTGAGGATAGAATGTAGTAAGAAGACAGGTGAACTGAGATATATTAATTAGAAAGGAGAAGTCTTGATTTAATTTTTGAACTATAGTGTAGTATGTATCTTGTAAAGATATTGTGCAAAATGACTTGTCAATCCTGTGAATATATAGCTAACTTTTGGGATTCAACTGTACAACTTCCTCTCCCTGAAATCCTTTTTCAAAAATGTGCTGCTGTACATATGTTATTAAGTTTTTCCTTCAAGAATGGATGAGATGCTTGCAGATATTTAATAGTAAAGGAGTAAGGAAGACCTTTGATTTTCTTCCTGCGTTTTTTTTTCTTTTGTTAATCGCATCTATTAGTTGCTAAATAGTGACAGCTTCTTTGCCATATTTTGCTGTATTCAAGATTTACCTGCCTGTGATGCATTGATGATATAGATTCATTCTCACTTCACTAATGTGCAAATTTAACTTAACTTTTTTTTTTATGTGACTCTACTAAGGCAATACATGATCATAAAGGCTAGCTAGACTTGAAAGATTTTCTTTTACATATTATATTGCAGCATAGCACAAATCTGGCCTGTGAATGAGAAGTAAAAGTATGATCCTCAAAGTCTGCAAAGGTAGTCCTCTTCTGCACAGAGCCTTCTGTTCCACAGAGCCTTCTGTTCCATCTGAAGATGCAACACTGCTGTGCATCTTCTCTGTGCTAGGGCTTTATTACTGGCAGTTTTGTGGAGAGTTTTCTGTTATAAATACTTATATATATATTTTGAGGAAAAGGCAGTAAGGGACCATATCTTTTTTTTTTTTTTTTTTTCTTGCAGCAATGTTTACATATGCGATGGAGGACAGAGTAATGTTTGAGCTGGCTATGGTCATCTTGGAGAGAAACAATAGCCATTGCATACAGTTTAGAAATCCTTACTGATGAATTGAAACCATTGAGTCCTTGGAGATCTCGGGTAAGACTGAGGTCTGCTTTGTGAGGCATTTTCTAAACGTTTAGTCATAGATAATACTAATCTTGGAAGGTCAGTGAGCAAAATGGAGAAGATAGAGGCTGTGTGAAAAAGATACTGCTTTCATTTTATGCTGGCTGTAAAAATTAAATTGCTTGTTCAAAGATGCATGATAAAATGTAGAAAAACATAAGGACTACACTTTGTGTCCTGTCAATGGACAATATGGTCAACATCCATGGTCAACAACCGTGGTCAATGGTCAACATCATCTTTTGTGCTGCGTACTTCTTGTTCTGTGTTTTTATTTTAGTGGCGTTTAGGCACAGGTCAGAAAATCCAGTGGAAATATTCTCGGTTCTGCAACAGTGCTCCCTTTCCACTCTTATCAATAGGTAGCTTCTGTGTCTGATGTTTTAGACATTAATATCTAAAGAGACTCTCCATCCTTAGCTGTTTTATGCCACTAAACTACCATGTGAAGGCAGATGTGTGACAAGCCTGCGAGGACGACATCCCAGGAATTCGATTTCAGGTTTTAAAATTCAGACCGTGCTAGTGCATGTTTAAACACATACTTTTCTTTTTTTTTCCTGTAGGGAGAGACCCATAAATATGTTCTTTATATCACCTTTTCTGACTGCTTTGACCTGATAATTTCCTGTATATGTATAAACCCCAAATCTCTAACCTTCCTTCCTGTTGTGAGTGCTCTGCGTTAAATAGAAAGCCTCTGAGGCAGGTGGCTTTTACTGGCAGCTGGTTTGCTTTGTGACAGGAATTGAGTGCAATGGGAAAAAAAGCTCTCTTTTAAGATAATACGTATAAAATAAAAGTATGCATCAGTACATTGTATACTGTCTCTGTGGATTGCATGCAACTATTTACTGCCTTTAAGTAAAAAGAATAAATAAAGTCATCTTGAAAACAGTGTCTTTCCAGGAGGGACTTCTATCAAAACACTTAAGGGGTTCTGTATTGTTGCAGAGCAAGTGAAGAAAACAAGGGAATCTGGCAGGCAAAAGAAATTACATGGCTGTATGCTTAAACGCATTACACACGTTGACTTGTGTTTCCTGTCGTGTTCATTATTGACCCCTATCCAGGCAGTTTTGGCACTACAAATCTTTCAAATAGCTTTTGTTCCATAAAGAGTGATTTCAGCGACTTTGTTGTAGGCCTCCATGCCCCAAATGTTTCATTTTCTGCTCTTCCTTGCAGTTCTGTACTTGCTATGCAGTTATGCTGTAGATGTTCAGAAATTACTAGTGGAAATAGAAGAAAACTGTTTGCATTTGAGTTATTATTCTTAACTTCTTGGTTTCTTTTATTGCTTCAGTGAATTGACCTGCAGATTATGGCATTTCCAATAGTGTTATCTGTGGTAGTTTATGGATTAAAAGTATTGAAGTTATCCTTGTTACCTCTGTTGATTAGAATTCATGGTGCTTAGTTTTGGGCATATGACTTACCTCCTCTATTCTTACCATAGTTTCCATGCCCTGAACTTTTTGGGAAAAAACCATTGAACAGAGAAATGTTATAATACTTGCATGTATATACTTGAGCTTTAATCTGAAAAAGTAAGTTAACTCTGTGTATAATTGATGATGAAAATGTAATACTTATTCAGGAATGTTGGAAGTAGCTAGTTATGTGTTTTGAATGAATTGTGGGAGTCGTCAGGCACATTAGCAGTGATGTTCCACTTGCTATTTGGGGATGCTATCTGTTAGTCCAAATATATGTGTATTGTGGTTTAGTTAGCCACTAGGTGTACTTAGCTTTTCATTGCATTGAGCTAATTAATGTCTAAAATTGACTACTGACACTGCAGTTTTAATACTATTAATACAGCTTTATGCTTGGATAACAAGACTTAAGTTGATGCGTTTTGCTGCTTTTGAATGCTGTATACTTGTTCAGACAAGGGAAAGGCATTTTCAGATGTTATTAGATACATAGCTGAGCAAAGGTGAGACACAGTGCAGGCGACTGGGGTTGAAGCTCCGCTTCCTGACCTGAAGAGGTCAACTTGGAGGAGGTGGAGTGAAATCTGTACATAGATTTGCCTCTCCATATCCAACGGGCAAAGAGCTTCTCACTATTGCTGTTTTTAGTGAAGAATGGAGTCCCCTCGGGGCCTGAGCTGAAGCTATACAGGGTGACTTATTGCTATGCTACAAATGGAAATCTTGATAGAGCTTTCAGTACCTACACCTGCCAAGCGTCTGCGCGCTCGTTGCTTGTTGTTTTTCCCTCAGGCAGGAGCAATCACTTGAATCTCCTTGGACCACTAGCATCCGTGATAGGGATCTATGCAAATCCTGGGTTTCCTTGTGCTAGATGATCTCTAGAGGTCTTTTCCACCCTTAAGCATTCCGTGATTCTAATGCACCTACCTGTCGTGGCGAGACCAGTAAGGTCTGACTTTTCTCCCTGCTGTAGGGGCTTCTTATGGCCTTTATAAAGACAGTTTAGGGGAAATTACTGAAGAACTTAAAATATCAAAGAATTGAGAAATAGGGCAAATTTTTGAGGTGATGGAGTTGAGTGTTATTGAACTGGAGGCTGATGATTTTGCTAGTGGGTTATAAGCAAGCTTGAAGCAAAATGTATTTAGCTGGTGAGATGACAAACTGAGCCTTGGTTTCTTATGAGCTTTTGCAGTCTGTGAAGGCTGGCTAGGCTTTGCTAGACCTGTTCTGCAAAGTGATCTAGTCAGAAGATCAAGTCAAATATCCATTTAGGCTACTGCTGGAGACAGGTTGCTGAATTGTAAAGAACATGGTTCAGAAAACTGACCTTTCTTAATTGCACTCCATGTTTTCAGAAGATGGTAAGGAGCAGCATTTAATTCTTGATTAAATCCATCTTTTTATCCATTGATAAAGAAACTAATCCAAAGCAAGTACAGAGGTAGAATTAACTGTTCTGCTGAATTAGTGAAGCCGTAGATTGAATTTTGGAATTCAGTTGGTTTGGGAAAAGCTCTGTGGGTGTAAAATGGAAATATCTGCTTCTGTATCATGACTACCTTGATCCTGCCATAGGAGGAGGAGGATGCTGGAGATCGATGAGAAATAGTCTGTGGGGGAAGGCTGAGCAGAAGCCAAGGCTTTGCTGTCTGAACCAAAGAGGGAAGGACTGGAATTAAAAGATCTTTGCAAAATCTGTCAGAGCAGACCAGATAAACAGGAGCACATTATTTCCTTAGGCTTTGTGAAGTTATACAAGTGACCCACCATCTCTACAACATATGTTTTCTTTCTGAAGCTTGCACCTTCACCAACCTGATACAGGCTGTATCTCAGTGTTACACTTGTTAGGCTTTGGAACGAGTGTGCTGATTGCCTTCACTGTTTTAACTGCAATCATTTTTTACTTTAGATTAGTATTAGCATTTAGTCTTTCATTTTGATATTGTATGTGTACATTAGACTCTCAAGATGGAGATTTTTCTCTGTCTCCAACCTAAGGAACAAGTTTTGTCAAATATTGGCTCAGAAATTTCTCTTGTCCCTGTCCACCTCTCCCCTCTCTGATTTTTTTTTTTCTGAAAAGAAGAGGCATTATGCACATTTTCATCACTGCCTTAAATAAGTGTTACTTATAAATGATAAATACTGAATTAATTTCTGATATGGTGTGACTCTTGTGGGATAGTAAGGTGAGCATATTTAATAAAGTACATTCTGAAAATATTCTTCTCCATTAATTTAGACTTTAAGTAAGTAAAAGATTGTTTTATTTCTGTAACAGGTGCCTCAAAATGGAGAAGGCTTTGAAAAGAATTCATCCAGTTTCTGATCCAGAAGCAACGTATTTTCTACAAGTGTCATGGGAACAAGATTTACGCACTGGCTTTGTTATAATTCTTAGTGATGCTCAGCATGCGTGGACTGGGACAGGTAATAATGGAAAGTGTTTTTTGTATTGCTACTCTATTATTAATAATAATAACACAAAAATTGAGCAGTATCTTTTGGTATGTTCTAAACAGTGGCCCTCAACTTGCACCAAAAAAAAAATTTTTTTGGAAACCACCTCCACTCAGTGATGGTTCCACACAGAGACATGGTTCAGGACCATGGGATGTGTTTAGACCTATGGAATGCTTGCGTGTCAACTAATATTAATGAATTTAACATAAGGTTATGCAATGCCGTGTTCTTTCTCACTAAAGCAATTTCCTGCACTGTACTACCTCTGTGTCTTCTTCAGATCCTTGCACAAATAACCCATGCAAGTAGTATTTAATGAGTTGCATAGTTCATGAAACATTTAACTGCAAATGTCTTTTAAATGGTTTAATAAGATTTTACTATTTTAATGCACATGAACTCAAGCTACTGTTCAATTGTGTGCTTTTTTTGAATTGTGTGGGGTTGGGGAGGTGGTGTTTGTATTTTTCTTCCTGGGGATAAATTACTGGAAGAAAAAAAAGAATAGCATGTAGTGTTTCTTTCCCACTGCCCAAACCCGAATAAGAGGTGGACTCTCTTGACGTGTGCATGTTTCTCTCTTTCCTGCCTAGTGAAAGAAGAGATTTGTTTGTCCTTAGAAATGTCTGTCAGATACTTGATCAAAAGCACTTCTCTCAAGGGCAATAATATTTCAAAGGGAGGGAAAGCCTATATGTTAAATAGTCTTTGTCAAGGCAAAAATATTTCCTGACCCTTTTTTCTGAATTGCAAGAACAGACATCCCTGTCTGTCTTCCTTTCTTTTCCCCCTGCCCAGTGGAAGTTATGTTTTTTCCAAGTCCTCTATAAGCCGTCTTTTCAAATCAAACTATTCTTTTAGATCTATTTCTCTTGTACATTTCCTTTTGTATTACAGGAAGTTAAATTCACTATCTTTCTTTTGAATACTTTTTTTCCTTTTAACATAGGAAATAGTACTAATTTTAAAAATACCTATTCATGTATTAAGTCTGCTCTTTCATATTCCTTTTAACATTTCAAGCATTTTATTGAATAGGAAGTCCTGCATAAAGAGTTCATTCACACACACACACGCTCCATGCAGTCAGATATGAATATTCTACTGCCAAATGAAGAACAAGCTCTCTAATTGTGTATTTTCAACATATCAAAAAGATGTTGGTGATGTTAAAAGCTAATGAGTATTCTGTTATTTTTGTCAAAAAGCTTTTAATACTGTTCTTATAACAAAGGGGTGTTACTTTTAAAAGCAGCAGCTTAAAATTGTCAAAACCCTCTTTTTTCATCTGTTTCTTTTCTAAAACCTAATCTTACTCTAACTGAAAGAGTATGAAAATAGTGTGTGTGTGTGTGTGATTTTTTTTTTTTTTCCCCTCTGTTTTGTTAACTTCCTGCATCAGACAGAATTACTAGATGGTCATTTCCTAAAACAGAGGATCAGTGAGAGCAAGATGACCTCACTCTATTAAGAGGAGAAAAGTCTTCCTGCAGTTTAGCATGAGCACTGGATATTCATCCAGAGGATAGAACTTTTAGCCTCTTTGTAAGAAGCTGATCCATTTCCAAGGAATTCCTATCAAATTTGTAATCCTTTCAATAACTTCATTAGGAGTCAGAGCTTGTGCCTGAGACTTTTCTACTGCACAGGTCGGTGTTTTTATACATTCATAATCGTTTTTGATCCTTTTTTTTTTCTCCTGAACTTAGCACATCATATTTAAGACTACTTAAATATGGCTTTTGAGACCTGGGAGAGTATGAAACAGTGGTCAGAATATATATTTTTTTATGTAGGAAATCCCTTCTAGGTTTCTCGTGCTGCGGATAATTTTGCTTGGCAAGACCTACTGGGAAGTAAATGAGGGAGAGCTGCCGATGGATTTGTCTTTTATAGGTTTTTTTGTACTTCATGTGATGATGAAAAGTGCTGGGGGTCTTTCTATTTAAACAAAATTAAACAAAAGGCAAAATCTTGGAGCAGGGAGGTAAAACATACAGGAATATTGAGTATAATCTATTAATATAGTATTGAAGAACTACAGATATGTGCATTTAGGAATATCATTTCTTCAGAGACTGGTTTTACTATTGATTCTATAACATACGGAAATACACAGCATATATAAACACAGCAGAAGAAAAGGAAACGCAGTGCTCTGTTACAGCCTACTTGCTTTATATTTTTTCGGATTGAATATATCGCCTTCTCTCAGTGTAGTTCTTTGTTTCCTGTATACTTTTTTATCAAAACACTGATTTATTTTTTAGTTCTCTTCCTTTGTCCTCAGTGCACAGGATACCACCCTTCTGTCTGCATGGTTTTGTTCGTTTCAAAATGAGTGGTAACATAGTGGCAGCATTTCCTTCCTCAACTCTATCTAGTCCTTTGTACAGGAAATACAGCTAATGAGAAGTAGGAAATGATTGATGACTGTGGCTTAAAACAGAAGAAACATTCTGAGGATAACTTTCACACCTTCTTTTTGCCTGCTTTGTTTTTTTCGTGCCGCTTGTAGTGGATCGTTTGCCTCTCAAGGTGAGCACTGATCAACTCTGTAACCACAGTCCTTCGCTGACTTATATGCTGAACTTAATTCTTGTCAATATGGCCCCTTATTTCACTAGCATTTCTTACCTGTGCCAAGTTAACAGTTTCAAGAATGCACTCCAGCTTGCACAGGGTGTTAGGAATTATGTGTTTGACTTAAATATAAATAACAAAAAAGATGGGGGGGGGGACTCAGGATCTGTGAAATAGAAAATGAAAATAGAATTCTGTGTGCTAAGTAACTGCAGCATTATTTGTATGAATAGTAAAAATGCTTTCAGTTTTTCCTTGGGGGAAAAAAACACAAGATGCAGCTAGCAGTTAGGGTCATGTTTCTGATCATATCTGTTTCACACATAAGATAGATTTAAAAAATCTCGGGAAATGCCTTTATCTGTTAATCAGAAATGTTTAAGAGTAGGGTCTGAAGCTGAGCATGGTTGACTTGGTTTAAAATGAGATAGGGAAGACCTGATAACATAAATTTGCAGCCCACTGCTTTGACTGTGAAGTGAATCATGTCTAAGTCTGTAGTGGTACCAGTTGTGTTCTGAAACTGATGCCTGATTTCATAGCTGTCAAACAGATCTTTCTGTCTTTGCATCTTGGTGTCTCTGGCTCATGTTGCTATCTGCCAGCTGCAGATACATTTGGTGCATAAGGAAGGGAGCTCTGGTGCGGCACTGAAGCTGAACGTTTGTACTTGGGCTTTGCACCTAGGGTCCTTTTGTAGGTCATGTACCAGATGGCAATAAACATAGCCTTCTGTCTAAGCCTCTCTCACCTCCCGTATCAGAAAACGATTCACATATTAGAGGAAAAGAAATTTGAGATGTCCATGTAGACAAAGAAGGATGCTGTTGCTCTCTTATCGATTCTTCTGTAAAATGTAGTCTCTTGGATCTGACTTAACAAAGAGGAGTGCTGCTTGCTTTTTGCACTGTTTCCGTTCATCTTCTTGGATATCTCAGTTTTTACTGGTTAAGATTTGCCATGAGAAATCTCTGCCGCCGAGACCAGTGAGAAAGGGAAGTTGAGCAATGAAGATGGAGGATCAAGTCAGAGAAGACTTAGTGGAAACTGGACACAAACAACTTGCTGTGACCTGATGAGATAAGCTCCACAGGTCTGGAGGTAGCTGGCAGAGTTCGTTGCAGGGCTGCTCTTGATTTCCTTTGAAAGGTAATGGGGGATTGCAGGAGGCTTCTGAGGACCTGGAGGAAAGTAAATCTCCCCTACCTTCAGGAAGGGCAAGGAGGAGGATCTGGGTAGCTAGAGGTCTTGCCTTGATCCCTGGGTACGTGATGGAGCAGTGATGGTGGAAACAATTTCTAGACATTTTAAGGACAAGAAGGTGATTGGAGGTAGTCAGCGTGGGTACATGAAGTAAAAATAGGGCCTTACCAACCTGATAGCAGGCTACAAAGAGGTGGCAAGCTAGGTGGGTGAGGAGTTAGCAGCAGATATCGTTTTTTCTTTGACTTTAGTAAAGCTTTCAATACTGTCACCTGTAACATCCATCCAAGCAATCTGATGAAGTACAGACTAGGTGGGTGGAGAGTGCAGTGGGCTGAAAACTGGCTGAACTGATCTGAAAGTTATGATCAGCAGCATGAGGCTAGTCACTAATGGGTCGCCCAAAGCTGATCCCTCTGCTGTTCAGTCTCTTCATTAATGACTTGGATGCTGGGACAGTGTTTGCAGATGCTGCTTGCTCTAACTGATCCTGCTTTGGGCAGCAGGTTAGAGCACTGGTCCCCAGAGGTCCCTTTCAACTTCAACTATTTTCTGAATCTTTGAAAATAAATAGAAGATATTAAAGATGCAGAATTATTTCAGAAATTTTGACGTGTATGAAGAGATAACTATCCATAGCAAATAACTATCCCTTTACCTTTATTTTTGTGTGATGGATTGATTTGTTAAATAGCACCTTCTTTGCAACATCAGGGTAGCTTCTGTGTCACGGGAAAGTACCAGAAAAGAGAGGCAATTTAAATGGGCATGCTTGCTTGAAATGCTATTCTGTTTCCTTTAGAACCAACAAAATACATTTGCAGGTTTATTCAGGTTATTGAGGTTATTATCTAGGTTGAGGTTATTATTCAGGGTGTAGGTTTCCCAGTATTAAATGATTTTCAAAGTAAGATACTTAAATTTTATATATTTTTTCTTCTTTCTTTAAGAGTCGCTTGCAGTTGTGTGAAGGATTTGGCCTGCCTCTCCCTTCCAGGCTGCCACAAACTAATTTTCTTTTTCACATTTTGCCCTTTCAGATGCTAGGCAAATCTTCAGAAAAACGCTACAAATGTCTGTTTTCAAACACGGGTAAGGACATGCTAGAGCAATCTTCCTCTGAAAAAATAGAAAAGGAAATGCATTTGTGAACCAAATAGAGAATCTAAAATACTGTTCTAGTAGGCTGGTACTTAAAGCCTGGATTGTGTTACACACATACTACATGACCTTATTTAGAGCCTTTGTTTAAATCTGCCTGTGTGAGAGCCTTGGCACTCCCAGGAGTGTCTGAAGGAATGGAATAAGACTTTCTTAATAGATCTGATCTAATGCAATTTGGAGACATGCCCACTGAATTTTAAACAGTAAAAAGTGGTTTCGTACACCACTGGGTATGCACTTCTTTTGATTTGATCTTATTTTGTTTTAAGAATGCAAGTTATGAGATGAAAGTGGAGCAGGTATATGTGAGGAGAGTTGCATGTCTGCCGTCTCCTGGGTTTAGATTACTCACTTCGAAAGAAAACGGGGTGGGGGACGAAGTCCTCTCTTTCTGTTGTGGAGTTAGTGTTATAGAATAACTGATACAGAATAACTTCAAGCAAGCAAAAATAGGGGTTGGTAGTAATAAACCACTTCTAGATGGGAAAAAGGACACACAGTTTAATTTTTATGTAAAATCTGCATTCAGCAGTTTGAATGGAGCATCTCCATTAGTGTCTGAGACATAGGTATGTCAAGAAAAGAAAAGTCTCCTCTAGTCTATCCCTTGAAGTTTTTGTGTACGTATATGTACACATGTATACATGAGTGTTTCTCAATTGTTTTTTCTTATAGTTTCTGAAGCTGAAATTTCTCAGGAAGCTGCTGATATGGAAATGGATAGAGAAAAATATGTTGAGGAACTGAAGAAAGCACTGATACTTGGAGAAGAATCAGCTGACAAATATAACTTTGTTATTGCTAGAAGTGAAGAAGAGGCAGAGTGTCATTTCTCCTATGAAAAAAATCTGAAAGATGTTTCTGTAAGTAAAGTTAAATGTTTAAATTTCAGTGTTAAAGCTTATGGATAAGAATGACCTGAGTCATTGAACTTCTATGTTATGTTTTTTCTCAAAATCAAATAGACATAGGATATGCCTGTCAGGTTGACTAAATATTGTAAGCCCTATTCTGGACCAAAGGAAAAAACAGATTTACGGTGTTTCTAATAAAACCTGAGCTCGACAGAACCAGTAACTATTTGTTTTTGATTTTTAAAATGACATTGGAGTATTACTTCCACAATGTAGATAAGTTTTTGTTTCTGTTTTCTGTAAGCAAAATATCTCTACAGGCATGCCTAAACTGTGAGTTGCAGTTTAGTATTAAACTGAAATGTTCCATAAGCTGTAACTTTGGTGTTTTTAACTCCTAACTTGAAATGTATTTTTTCCCTTTTCTAATCCTCATCATTAACATATGTATTTTTGATTTGCTTTGTCTCTTTTTTCCCTATACATTCAGAAAAAAAATAGAAATAAGATTACTTTCAAATGCCAAAACAAATTAAAAAAACCTTTTTTCCTATTACTTTAATTTGAAAGCTACACTTAACATGTTTTGTGCTTGAAACAGCATTAATTTGTGACTAGAAATGCAATTCTAAGCTGATTCCGTAGCTGTAAAGCAAAAGAGCTTCTCTTAAAACAAGAAGGAAGGTGGTATATCTTGTATATCTAGACACCTTTGTCTGCCAGCAGTTTAGTGGCTTAGTGTTTGAGGACCCCTGTTTGTCACTGCTCTTTCTTCCCCCCAGATTGAAGATAGGCCTTTGCCAGGGCTTGTCACTGCTTCTGTTGTGCTAAGGCAGCTGTTGGTGAGAGCAGCCTCTCAGCCACAGCAATGAAATACTCCGGGTGTAAAAAGGAATTGCTGTTTTGGTATGATCTTTGCACAGATCACAGCACAGTTTTGCAATCAATTGCATTGGCACTTCGGAGGGGAAGTAAATTGTGGTGGTGAGGTAACGGAAATGGGGTTGAAGACAAAGGAGAGGAGAGATGTTTTTTTTCTGGAGAAAAAAATCTATCTTGGAGCTGTGCCCAGCGGGCAATTCAAAGTGTCTAAGGATTGCACTACCTGTTAAGGATTTTTACTTTAGAGCAGTGTCAAAGCAAGCTTTGCTTTTCCTGTGGCAGGTTATTTTGGGGGAAAACAAGAAGAATATCACCTTTGAAGTACCTAACAAAGGTGTCTGACTTAAAACAAATATCAAGCCAAAAAAGACCACCCCACGTTTTTTTTGCGATACTTTTGTTGAAGGGAAGGATGAAATTTGTTTTTCTCTCTAAATTGGAAATAGTCAAGGAATGCAGTATATGTACAGGGAGAAATTAAAATGAAAGTATACGTGGGATGTTTTTATGCATAGGTTTTTTTTAGAAGGGATGAGGAAAAATTGCTTTAAATTACTTTAAAGCAGCATTCATACTACATAATTTTGAAGTGGCTCACCTAGATCCTTATTGCTTATGTTAAGAGATTTAGATGGTGGAGGAAGAGATTCATTGGACCCAAGTCAGGCTTCTTGAAATGGAGATGACTTCTTCAGTACAGACATGTCTTTTTGTGCCATGTAGGAAACAGGAGGACAATTTGGCTTGTATTTAAGCTGCATTATCAGTTTTTCTGTTCAGTTACCCAAGGTCTTTTGGGCTCTAAACCTACAGCTCTGCACTTCCTGGGAGCACCCAGGGTCAAGCCCTGTTTGCAGTGGGTCGCGTTCAAAGCGCTGTGTTACAGCAGTGTTACAAAGTTAGGACCAAATTTTACTTAGAAATTACGAACAGTAATTCTAACAATCCTGGTTTTCTTGTCTGTGTAACACATAATATATTCTAAATACCAGACAGATGAAATACATACTATATTTTATTATTGGAAAATATCTTCATATATGTGACCCCACATAACATATGTTTCCATCAATTAAGACTTACCAGAAACGTAATTCTTATGAAAACATCTTTATGTCAATTTGGGAAAATTATAATCTGGCCAAAGTAGTTTAAAAAACAAAATGTCCTGATTTAAAAAAAACAGAATGTCCAAATTGTTAGGCATGCTTTCTGCACTGGGTGTCGAAAGAGTGCTTTTAGGAAGGATGATGACTTTTCTTGGGTCACATGATCTTCCCCTCTGCTGATACTGAATGAATGTCTAAAAGCCTTGATCAGAATTACATACAGCTTTCAGCTATATGTTGGAATAGTGTTTCAAACTTTTGCTAAGTCCCTGTGAAGGTACTCGCTCATGCTGTATATCTTCTGGCATCAGTTAGAGCTGATCTTAAATTTTGAACATCCAAGGGGCTGAGCTTCAGCAAAAGTGCACATTTCTCTTCATTTACTGCAGAGGAGACAGAGACCATTCTGCAGCTTTAATTACTAAGTTTAAATGATGTACATCCCTTGCAGTTCTTGGTATTCTAAATGGTTATTTATCTATATATTTGTTGTTTAGCCATTATCAATGTTCTTTTTTTTTTTTCTCTTTTTCTTTTTCCTGTTTCAGGAAGTGTATATATATGCACAAATTAAAACCTAATATTATTTTCACTCTTGGCAAGAATGCTTTTTTAACTGTTGCTTAAAACGTACTGAATTTCTTTTGTTAGATGTACCACTCAGATAGAAGGAGACGTGTCTTTATGTTCTTATTTTAAAATCTGTGCATAAAGGAAAAGGAAGCAATAGGTTCCAATTTTGGCAAGAGTGCACATCATACTTCTTGTAAATTCCCTGTTTCTTTTCTATCCCCATTATGTCATCAATCATCGTGGTGAAGAAAAACCATTAAATTATGGGGAACAATTAGAGGATTGCTATTCTTAAACTAATGTAGTTTTACCATTTGATATGTAATAAAGGAAGAGATTGTGGAAAAGAATACGTAAAGATGTGGTTGATTGGGAGTTGGAATACTGAATGTTAAGAGTTCTAAAAGCTTCAGAAATGCATTGGTGTGCTTTGTGAGCCATGACATGGGTACCTAATCACGCAGCTACCCATTACTTCAAAGGCACATTTTGTTCCCCACAGAGCACAAAGCACTATGGTTTCATGCCCCCCTCAGGACAGGGGGGCATACACCCCCTTGTTACAGATGTCTATGTAGTGGTATGCACAAACTTGTTTTGATTAGCAGTAATTAAACCTGCTTTAGAGCATGGATGGTGATTTAACTGTGGGTAGCAGTTGCCTATGCCCATCCCCTTGGGCAGCTGTTTCCAGCGCAGAGATCCAACAAACTCGTTTGCCTCTGTTCTTCTGAATGTATCACTGTTTCTTGTGAGTTATGCCCTGGTACCAGTAAATACCAGTAAATAATAAATAAATACCAGTAGTTAATGACAGTGAAGTGTTCATTAATTTTTGTTACTGCAAATCACAAAGTGAAAGTCTGAGAAACTTAGCCTAATGATAGCAATAATATTCCAACTTTTATATACTGAATCCCCGTGGGAGAAGCATACTGCTACACTATTGCACCATCCTGGATAATCAGTTTTCCTGATATCTGCACGTGTGAAATAGGCTCTGTAGGTGCTTAGTGAGCCTCATATATGAATTAGATTAGGTTCCTCTTCTAGCATAAATAACAAAAGCTTTCATACATTAGATGGTAAATTTGAAATGGATGATTTCGAACTGCATAAGAACGTATTGTTAAAATTTTAAATGTAAAATTCTACAATCACAATTAGTAGATTAGATTAGTAATTTAATTAGATTAGTAATTTAATAATTAGCAACAGTGAAGTAAAGGTAGCTATGTTACCACTGTCACTGGACTTTGGGTTGATGAGGATATTTTTAAGTTTGGTAATTACCAATATTCAGTATTTATAATACAATTAATACATAATTTGAAATACTCTAACTGCTCTCAAGGTTTTCTGAGTTTTTATTTTTATTTTTTTTCATTTGTGTCCTTGCATATAGGTTTTCCAGTTTTCTGATAGGGAATTCCTGTTGGTGACTTTGAACTAGTGACTGTTGATAGTCGTTTAATAAGGATGAAATACATAAAGTAATGGACTTTGTTTCCCATAACTCTACTAAAGAAGATATTCTGAAATTATTTTTACCTTCCTTCTTAGCAAATTGTTAAAAAAATGTGTACTTAATCTACTTTCCTAAAATATGAAGCTGAATCCAAAACTGTACTGGGTGGTCTGCAGGAGAGCAAATAAGAATAATGGTGTGACATTAAGCAGAGGAAGATATAGGCATATTAGGAAATATTTTCTAATGTTGAAATCTGTTTTACTGTTGAAGCATTTGCCAGAGAATACGGTAGCAGTCCCATTGCTTCGGTTGCTTAGAACCAGATTGGACAAAAGAGTGGAAAATACACCATGAGTAACTATCCTGTTTGGCAGTGTTGTACATTAGATGACCTAATAGGTGATTTCTATCCCAAAAATCTGTGATTGCCTGCCCAGATTGTGTTTGACCTGAGCTCCCCCAGACTAATTGCTCCTGTGGTGCAATTAATGTCTCCACCAAGGAAGTAATATGCACATTATACCCTCCCTCTCCCCCAAATTGGGGATTGCAGAGCAACAGGATGGAGAATGTCGATTGTGCTTATTGCTTCTTGCAAGCAGCTTCCTCCCGCCTCTTTGTGCCACACGCTGCATATTCCAGGCTTGTTCTGTCTGTCATTGCCTGGGTGGGATGTTTGGCGGTGGTAAATCTAGCAGGTGCTTCCACACTATAACAATAAAAAGCTGGCATTGTCAACAGTGTCCTGGGGAGGTTGACCTAAAAACAGGTCCTTTGAATTCAGTTTGATTTACTTTGCTAGCTGATAGGAGAAGATAATTGTACTTATTTGCTTATGGAAGTAAATGAATTTAGAGATTAAAAATTTGTCTGTGGTTCTCAAAAGTCACTTCACCTTCTTTTGTACTGGATCACTAAAGCTAGAATTAGCCTTGTTAGTCAGAGCTCTACTTTTAAGGCATCAGACACCTGAA